TAGTGTTGCTCTGAATCTTTTTTTTTTTCCTTCAGAGCGGACCTACGTTTAGGCCACATAAAAATAGGACATTACTGCACTAGAGTCTAAAAACAGGAGGGAAGGCATGCGCACCGTGTCAGATCTTTCTGCTAAACATAGAAAATGGAAAGCTCTCACCTTTAGAGTTCAGATAAAGTCAGACACCAAACTTTGTGTTATCAGAGAAACTAAATACAAAACATCTGGAGTAGCTTGAATCACCGGTATTTAAAAAATCCAGATTTCTTAAATTTGATTTGATCAAAAACATTTACATTCATAAAAACACAAAAATATTATCAGAAACTGGAATTTGTGAGGGAAACTAGTTTAAATGGAATGAATTAAACGTTTTTCATGGCTGAAATCGCACATTTGTGATAGTGTTCTTGACATTTTCTCTCCTCCACGACAAAGTGAGACTGATGTAAGCGAGCAATGATTTTGACAGCTTAATAGCTGAAAGAATGCCCTCTTTCCTACAAATGTGCTAAGCAATGATTCACCTAATGCGTTTAACAAACCCTTTAAGTCGCTTGGTTGTCCTCTTCCACGCTTTCTCTGGCTACAGAGGACGGCTGCGGTCAGGTTGAGGTATCACTGAAATAATCCGATCTACGACTAAAAAGGAGGAAAAATGACTGATGTGTTTCATTAAAGCAGTTTATTTTTGATTTTCTTCCTTTGTGCTAGCTGCTGAAGCTATTATAGCACAATCCACTGTTCTCGTGAAAAAAGGAAAAAAGGAAAAAATGTACATCACTTGCCTGGTATGGACTTAACCTTAAACATGTCATGTTAACTCATTTAAAGCTATAAGTCATCCACATCTGAAACTGGGTTAAAGGTACAGCCTCTGGCTGGTGATTTGCAATTTAGTCTACAAGCAGAGATGCTAAACCAAGAAAATACCACCTGACAATCATCTGTTCTCGCTAAAATGGTATTTAGCCCACATTAGACTAGACTATAAAAAGAAATGATGTAAAAAATTATTTCAATAAAGCTACGCATGAACGTGAATATTTTATTAAAAAGTTAGAGCACAATAGAAACAACATAAAAGGCATCTGGAAAGTATTAAATGGCATAATTAGGAAAGAGACAGGGAATAATAACTATCCACAACATTTTATAGAGAGAAAAAATAATATTACAAACATGAATGAAGCAGTGGATAAATTCAACAAATATTTTGTAAGCATAGGATCTAAATTGGAGGAAAAAATAATAGTTGATGAGATACAAACGGATGCCACAGAGTATGTTGAAAGAAATAAAAATTCTGTTTTTTTAAGAGCAGTTGATGAGAAGGAGATTTATGAGATAGTTAGAAATATGAAGAATAAAACCAGTACAGACTGGAACGATATTGATATGAAAACACTGAAATGTGTGATTGAGGGCATTGTAAAACCATTAACACACATTTGTAATCTTTCTTTTCAAAAGGGGTTTTTTCCGAATCACATGAAAGTAGCAAGGGTAATTCCTATTTACAAGACAGGAGATAAGCATCAATTTACAAATTATAGACCTGTGTCAATACTATCACAATTTTCCAAAATATTAGAAAAGCTGTTTGTTAAAAGATTCGATAATTTTGTTGATCAATGTGAGTTGCTGACGGAATGCCAGTATGGCTTCAGGAATAACAGGTCGACAGTCCAGGCACTGATTGATCTTAATGAGGAAATAACAGAATGCATTGACAAAAAGAAGCATGCAATAGGGTTGTTTTTAGATCTGAAGAAAGCTTTCGATACAGTAAACCATGACGTATTGATGAGAAAAATGGAAAAATATGGTTTCAGGGGTATAGTTTTGGACTGGATAAAAAGTTATTTATCAAATAGACAACAATATGTGCAAATAAATAAACATAAATCAGGACTAAGAGAGATACAATGTGGGGTACCTCAAGGATCAGTCTTAGGACCTAAACTATTCATAATGTACATAAATGACATTTATAGGGTTTCACAAGTATTGAAGTTTGTATTGTTTGCAGATGACACAAATGTTTTTTGCTCGGGTGTGGATTTGCAACAGGTCCTGGATGTGGTCACACAGGAAATAAATAAATTTAAAAAATGGTTTGATGTAAATAAACTGTCACTAAATTTAGAGAAAACAAAATTTATGTTGTTTGGTAATGAAAGTAGATACAATGAATTAGATATAGTAATTAATAATGTAAAAATTGAGAGAGTATATGAAATAAAATTTCTTGGGGTGGTCATAGACAGCAGGATCTGTTGGAAGCCACACATCAAATATGTTAGGGGGAAGCTTGCACGGGGCATTGCTATATTGGGCAAAGCTAAGTATATTTTTAATCAGAAAGCACTTTATATATTATACAATACGATGCTACTGCCATATTTGAGCTATTGTGTAGAGGTCTGGGGAAACACGTACAAAAGTCTTTTACAAACAATAACGACAATGCAGAAAAGGGCTATCAGATTAATAACAAATGCAGGATATTTGGATCACACAAATGAACTTTTTATTAAAACACGGACAATGAAGTTCCAGGACTTGGTTAAATACAAAACAGCACAAATAATGTATAAAGTAAGAAATAAATTAATGCCTGATAAAATACAGAAACTGTTCACAGAGAGAGAAGGAGGATATAACCTGAGAGGGACACTAAACTTAAAGATACATAAGTTTAGAACAACATTAAAACAGATGTGTATCACAATAATAGGGGTTAAATTATGGAACAATTTAGAAGAAGAAATCAAAGTAAGTACAAATATAAATGTGTTTAAAATGAATTATAAAAAACATATTCTGAACAAGTATATAGTGGAAAATAGATGATTTATGTGGGTGTCCTTTATTCCGAGGAAAAGTAAATTGTATCAATTGTAAAAAGATGTTTTTTTTTTCTTTTTTTGTTTTTTTCCATATAATTTGGTGTTTTTTTTGGTGACTTGTACCATTTTGTTTGTTTTATTGTAGGTTTTGTGTTAGATTTAAGTAAACAAGTAAAAATTACTTGTATAAAGGGGTAGGGATATATAAGTTTCCACTTCAGCCTACTCCTTTTCAAACACAGATGGGATGATATGTATTTTTTCTGTTTGTGGTACTTTTATGTATGTTTTCTTTGTTTGAAATAAACTAAACTAATCAAAAAAAAAATATGTACAATAGCTGTTATCTGCAGTGGCGCCCCGAAGGGGTGGCTGAGGAGGGGGCATGGCCACCCTTGGAAATTTGCTGGCCACCACAGCGAATATAACACCCACCCCACCTTTTAAAATCATATTCATATTCATACAAAGCATATCTCTTTATTCAAGAGATGAACGTAAAGCCAGTAAATAAATTTAATTAACGCGTTAGTTTAATTATTGAGCAAAAAAAATCCTAATTTCAATACACTTTGCTTAAAAAAATTACTAAGCATCAGTAGTTTTTGTGCATGCAATTGTTAGGTCTGAAACAGGCAAATTAAACTATTCTAAAGCTATCAATTTTGAAACGAGAACTAAAATAACCACTTGAAATTTTGTCTTTTTCCTGAAATGTTTGTGTTTCTCAAATTTGAGATACATTTATTTGATGCTTTTTAGTGATAAAGAATAAAAGAGTGTGCAGTGCATCACCATGGACTAAACACTCCCATAGATACCAAATAAACCAAATTGGTGTGCCACTCCAAAATCCTCAGTGGACCCATTTGGCCCCCACTGTGAAAACAGGTTCATCAAGCAGGAAGATGTTAACCAAAAATGCTCACTATCAGTTCCTTCAGTGCAGCCGACCTACTTCCAAGGACAGTTGGTGTTTGAAGAAAACAAAGTGCTGTAAGAACATTTTGTGTTTGAATCGCTTTTGCATTCAAAGTTCAGCACCCCATAGATTTTCCTTTCAGCTGACTAAATGTGAGCCCATTTGTCCAAAGTATCTCCTGAATCATCTAGTGCTTAAATGAATTTAAAGCAAAGCTACAACATGTTTGAGAGAATTACAAATGGGAGGGCCAAAATGACTTCACAGCAATAGAATGATTTAACAGAGAACAGGCAAACAAGCAGGGCAACATTTACCAAGACTAAGTGAGGTAATAGGCTTCAAAACAACTGCCTAGCATAAGAAAGGCACACTGTGAGGTTCAATAGTTCAGATTTTTCCTTTAATTTGTTGCAGGCATAGAAGAAATTTACGGCCTCTGCTGCCCTCTAGAGGCGGTTGGTGTATTTGCAGAAACTACTTCAGCCTGTTCACAATCACAAACTTAAACGCGATGATAAACGATGCATGTTTATCAATATCAATTCATAAATAATTACTGAGAGTTTTGAAGTATTTCTTGACTAAGAAAAAAATTGCAACTAGGTCTTGCTGCAGCTGTAAACAATTTATTTCGAGTTAGACAGAGATTTTGTTGTCGACGTTTACGTAAATACGCAGCACATTCATCGTTTCATTTCTGCATTCAGAAACGCGGGTACGCAAATAGTCATTGCTAGCAATTTGCTTCTTAATGGCTGGTGTAACAAGTTGAATAGATTCACAGTTCGTGCTAATGATAAATTATGGACTAATAGTAGCTAACACCAAATCAACTGTAGCTGATTTTTATGGTTTTAGCTGTGGCCTTAACATAATTCTAGATCTAAACCACAACGTATGCGTCCGTTAAAAAGACCAGGACTGAACGGCCTGAACCATCTGGTCCCATGGTGTAATGGTTAGCACTCTGGACTTTGAATCCAGCGATCCGAGTTCAAATCTCGGTGGGACCTCATCCTTTTTTCGTTGTAAATTTACCAGTATTATTATTACACTCAATCAAACTTTGAACGATTCAAATGAAGAATAATCAATTATAAAGGCACAACAATGCTATATTTACCCAGGTTTAACTTTGTTATGTGAAATCCTTTTTTTACATATAATCAGAATATACTCAAAGCCCCTTCCATTTTGTGATCATCAAAGAGCGGATAACATAGGTTGTTGAAACAGTTTTATTTTCTCACAATTACAAACACAAATATAAAACATTTCTTTGGCTGCTTTTTTTCCCTGGAATGTTACTTAAATCTGTTCACCAATGACATCTGTAATGTTGGCCAAAGTGAACTGATAATCTATTTCACAGAACCCTCACATTCCCAGCTGTGTTCTCACAACAGCTGTCTTATTTACCACACATCTGCCTGCTATCTCTATGATGCTTGTGTGGGTTCATCTTGAAATTAAAGCGATGTTATTTTAAAAAGAGGAGTTTCTCAGTGTTCTGCTGAGAATGAAAAGGCAGTTATTGTAAAGCAAGTGATAAAACCTTTCTAAATGGCATCATTTTTAACATTGAACAGCTACAGATATGGATACAACATTAATGTCAATAAAAAGCAATAATAATAATAATAATAATACGTCTGCTTCCCATCTTTAATTTTACAAACCTGATTTACCTTTCTGTTGTTCTTGTCATTTTTATTTTAATTTTCAAGGAAATAAAAGCTTTAATTTGTAAAATATATATATATATTCTGCAAAATATTGTTTCTAAGGCTCTCTTGTGCTGAAAACCCCTCAGCTTCTGGAGTGATTTAAAATCATTTTAAAACTTCCTTCTTAAAGGTACAATATGTAAGAATTTTACAATCACAAAACAGTCAAATGTCTCAATGTTGGAATGAAGGTTACATTGAAATAGATTTCCTTTTCAGCCGGCTGGGGGTTGTCAGAGTTTCTTCTTTCAAAATGGCTGAAGATGGTTGTAGTCTCTGTTTATGACCTGTGAGCCTGCGGGGTTGGCGAATCACCACGGAGTCAGCGATGAAGCTGGCCAAATGTAGCAATGTTTTTAACTCATTCACTGCCAGCCGTTTCCTGATCACTAACGGCCTTCGCTGCCAGCGTTTCTCACCGTTTTTACTGTTTTTTAAAGAGTCACAGAACGTTGCACGCTAGCATGATGTCGATGCCAAAACAACCAAAACAAAGAGGAGACTCACCTCTTACATCAGGAAGAAGCAGCGTGTTTTGAGCGTTATCCGTTCTTTCATAATCCGTTGTCGAATTGTGATCGGCAGACGCTTTTCCGGTCCGCGCCTCACTTTTTTTACCGGAACGGCCCAAAACAATCTCCTAACACATGGATGTGCTGCTTCCTGATCATGTGACATGTGACGTATGCGGACGAAGATCGGCTTCAGGGCTGAGATGTTTGTTCTCTCAGCGCGGGGGCTCGTTCCGATGCTCAAACAGTAAAAAAAAATGCAAATGACGACTTTAGTCGTCATTGGCAGTGAATAAGTTAAAAAAAATCTAAGCCAATTACATGAGCAACCCAGAAGTTATTTGTTGTACCCCTACGTAGCCACAGCATATTTTTAATATTGGGATTAGAAAGCTAGAGGCTAACATTGAGCTAACAATGCTGACAGTTATTTAGAAGAAAATAGTCAGCTCTACAAATATCTCGAGCTACATTATTAATTACAAACAACTTGATATTACAGTAAAATGTATTTATCTACTAATCAATCTTTAGTGTATGACTCGTTTTAACTCATCATTTTGAAATTTCTAGGGCTGAGCCATAGTTTGGGCGTGCTGCAGTAATTAAATTTGACCACAAGATGTCAGTCTTAACTCATTCTTCCATAATGCACCTTTAAAGCAGCAATTCAGAGTTTTCTTCCCCCTTTCAGGAATTATGAATGATTTTTTTTAGAAATCCATGAAAGTGACAGTGTTACCCTGTATTGTTAAATATTGTAAGAAATATATAATTTTTTACTGTAGATGCAATTTTAATGTTGCGCTGCTCAGAATTTGCTAATAACTATAGAAATCTGCTGACGTACAGATTGTCAATCACAGTGTGTGCACACATTTGCACTTACGCAGAATTGGCAACATTTTTATTTACAAGTAAGTCTTTAAAATGTATATTCATGAATAAACAGGAGAATAAAGATTCCTCTGTTGCCCAGCTACAGGTGTTCACTAACGAGGTGTTACTTCCAGTCCTAATCACGAAAGTGGGGAGGTGGGCTTAAGGTGCGATCATTTCCTTCTGCTTCTAGATGGTGCGCTCTGAGAAAAATGCAGTTTTTCTGCTTCAAGACTGCAACCCGATTATTGAGTGTATTTATTTATTTTCCCTTTTCCTCAAAGGATTAAACACAACTGGTAACCAGCCTATAATGATCATTGGTCACAGTGGTGTTTGGATAAAGCATTCAAGGATCCATAAGGCAACAGATTACACAAAATAACACAAAGAAATATACATCTCAGAGAGGAAATTTGGTATTTTCATCTTTTCAATCTGGCTGAAAATATATAAAAAGCCCTAAAAAATACATGGATTCACTTAAATACAGCAACCAAGCAAATAAAAACATCAAGGCACAAACAATAAAGCTCTTTTTCTTTTTGTCAGTTCTAATAAAAAAATGGCTTCTTTTTTTAAAAATGTTTTATGTTTATTATATATTTTGGTGTATTATATACAAAGCAATCCCCCAACCCTTATTTTAAATTATTCCATTTAGTGTTTCCTGTGTGTACATGTGTGTGTTTACTCAATCTGTTCAGATGTCAGTGGTCTCCAAGTTGGAGACTCCAACGTGTTGGGAATGTCCACCTGCCCGTTGGTGCATGCCTTGCTCGTCCTCTCCTGCCCGTTGGTTTTGTGCTGCTTCGCGGTCCTGGTCAGCTGAAAAGACGACGTGGGGGCCAGATGCTCTAAGCCGCCATGGCCGGTGGCTCGACTGGTTTCCACAATGGACGAGTTGGTGTGGGAGCTGCAGTGGTTGTTGGTGGCGGGTGTTTGTCCCCAGCCAGTTTTCCCCCAGGCTGACTTCCACTGAAGCCACTTCCTGCGCAGCGCCGTTTGGGCCTGCAAATCAGCAACGAGAGAATTTAAACGTTTAATTCACATTCTGATTTAGTGTCCTAACTTTCCAAGATCTTATTTTCTTGACTGTGAAATTAAATTTCTCCCAGCTGTTTGGGATTGAAAGCACCTCGTTAACACACAAAAAAGTGTTTTAAAATAATTAACTTAGGCAATCCTGGTCCTTGAATGACGCTATCCAGCATGTTTTAGTTGTTTCCGTTTTCCAACACACCAGATTTTAATCGGTAGGTGATTAACAGGGTTCTGCAGAGCTTGATGACCTGGTAAACAGGTGATTCAACCACTGAATTAGGTGTGTTGGAGCAGGGAAACAACTAAAACATGGTGTATAGCAGCACTTGAGGATCAGGATTGCCTACCCCTTTCAAGGGCATTTCTCCTTCTTTAGAACTGCTCCAATGATACATACAAATGTTGTTTTTTAATCCTCCCGCATTGTTAATGGGGTCAGATGGACCTCTGGTGTATTTTTATTTTTTATTTTAATATTTTTAAGGGGTGCATCAATTCACTCTGTTTAACCACCCCCTGTCCTGGCGGGGTCACCTGATAGGAAAGTGGACAGGTTAAGGCTATATTAGCATTAGCCAGTAAATAGTTCAGTTTTACGCTATGATGATGATGATGTTTAGTATTTATTATGTCAGGGTTTAAAGTACAACATATACTAAAATACCCCCCCCCCCCCAAAAAAAAATACATTGTTGAACTATTATTGATGCCTTACAATTAAATCACGAGTGTTTATTTATGAGAATTGCAAGAATTTAACTTACCTCAGCATTGCAGAAACAGAATATGATGGCCACCAGGAGTCCCTAAAAAATAAGAGTCATTAGAGTGAAGCATTTTAAAAATCTGTGCAAATATTTCTACAAAACTAACCTGCTCTGTTTGAAAAAGAAAAACCAGATTATTTTTTCTAGCGGTAGTTGTACACATATGGAACATTTGATAATTACACCCTTTTCAGGAGCACAATGTAAGCATTTTAATATTATTTTAAGTAAACAGTGTTTATTGCAAGGTGCAAATACCCATAACCCTTTAATTTATTCTAATAATCCATTTTTATTTGTTTGGAGCAACAAGGGTTATAGTAGCCTAAAGTGTAAAACAATAATAATAATAATATCACCGTAAACATTGGAAGGTAATAATGATCAAACTGTGTAGCAATAGTATTTTCCTTATTATTAAAACAACACAAAACCATGAGCTCAAATATGATTGGCTCTGGAACCAGGAAGTGTGGAGGCGGGGCAGATAGTGAACAAGCTTCGTTAGCACTTAAAAAGGAGAAAAGCTGGCATCCAGCCAGCTGAGAAAATCTGTTTCAATGTAACCTTTCATCCAGCACGTTCGAGACATTAGGCTGTTTTGTGATTTTTTTCACTGTAAAATTCTAACATGTTGCACCTTTAAACAAAAAGTGAATTTGTTTTAGGAAAATAGTTAAAACATGTCATTATTGCATCAGTCACAGTACTAGGTTTCATTCCCACACGCACCTGAAAGCTGGTGAACAGGCTCATGAAGAAGTCATAGACAGTCTGGCTAATGCGTCCCTCGGGCCTCCATGGAAGGAGGATGAAGGGGATTCCCAGCAGAGGGACCAGGATGAGGGTGGCTCTCACTGCCTTCATGTAGGTCATGGACTCAGCACAGTGTGTCTCCTTCAGCTTGGTGATCAGAACCCGCACAATGTTCAGGAGAAAGAAAAGATTTGCCTACAGAAAGAGCAAACAGAGGAGGAGGATTTAAAAAGCAGAAAAGTACAAAATTTTAAGGAGTGAGTGGTTCTATTTTGACTGAACTAATGCAAGGCAGCCAGATAGTGGCGCTAAAGCCACAGGTTCAAGTCAGTCACCATTTTCTCTCCCTTTTTTTTTTATTGTTTTTTGAATGCTTTGTAATTCCAACCAGACACGGAGACAGAGGTGAAAAAGAAAGGAAGAGACAAAAGGAAGAGGTGTGGGGGGGTCCCACAAAAATTAACAATCAATGATGAACAAGAGTCGACTTCTAGACCTGTAGAAAGAGAAAAACAAACAAAACAAAAAGAAGGGGACACACAACAATACAACAAGAGCAAGCTATCACTGCATCAACCTGATGAGGAAATGTAAAATCAACACTGTTTTACTGAACGATCACGATAATAAATCACAGTGCATTTAGTGCCAACCACAGCCTTAAGCCACGTGTTGAACGTGCCCAAGCCCATACTTATGAGAGCACCATGTGAGCACCTGTGTGTGTACACGCGCTTGTTTATGTAAGGTTTCTCTAAAGGAGTGTCCAATAGAGGATGTGAGGGGCCACAGATCTGCCCCCCAAAGATGCATAGGAGATGGAGGGAGCTCCAAGTCCCAGAGATCCAGGAGCTGCCCCAGAGCACAGGGACCCCAAGGAGACCATGACCAGAAAAGCAGAGGATTGACCCAGGGGCCACAACCAGCAGCCAGCAGAGTCCCGGAAGATATCAGCGGCAAGCCCACAGGCCCTCTCACAGCCTCCCACCCCCCTCCCAGCCGACCGAGCCCGGGACCCAGCAACCCGGGACCCAGGGGTGACTAGCCCCGCCGGGGACCCAACAAAGCCCAGGGACCCAGATCCCACCAGGCCGCCACCGGGATCAATCAGACAGATGCCAAAAATCTTAAACTTCCTGACACCAGAGCTGCGAACACTCAAGCAGACCAAGGCACCGCACTCCACACCAAGTGTGGCGGGGGGAAGGGTAGGTGAAGATGTGTAGCAGCACAAGAAGTCCCAGGAGAGTGACCAATCATATTTCACAAAATATCACAACATTTCTGTGTATCAATATTTTCATACATCTTTTAAAAATGTAAACACAAAAACACTGCTTATAACAGGGCTATGCAATTCCAGGCCCGGAGGGCCGGTGTCCAGCACGTTTAACTGTTTCAACACACCTGATTTCAATCAGCAGGTGATTGACAGGCTTCTGCAGAGCCTGATGAGCTGCTGCTCAGGTGAGTTAACCACTTAACCAAGTGTGTTGGACTAGAGAAACCACTGAAATGTGCTGGATGCCGGTCCTCGAGGCCCTGAATTAAACAGCCCTGCTTTCAAAAATTGATACTTACAAGCAAAGCAACTTGGATGGGTCCGTGGGTGATGTGGACAAGATTGGTGCGAGGGCTGATCCAACACCTAAACCACACAGACATACAGAAATTCTTCATAGCGCATCTCGTTTCCCACGTTGGTTTCTTTCAGCCTAATTTAAACTAGATGGAATATATTACTTTCCTCAAAGTTTTACACACAACACTGAATAACGACAACGTGAAAATAACTGATTTTTGTTCTTGTTTTTGACACTTTTGCAAATTTACAAAATAAGGTTTCTCAGCTGTTGCCATAAAGCTCAAAGCTGAGCTCAGACTTTTTTCTGTTTCAGCTAATCATCCTGGAGATGTTTCTGTAGCTTACCTGGAGTCCACCTGCTGTAAATTCTCTTGACATACTTTAGAAAAGCACAGACTCGTCTAAATAAGTTCCCTCAGTTGACCGTGCATGTCAGAGCACAAACCAAGCATGAAGTCAAAAGAATTGTCTGCAGTCCTCCAAGCCAGGATCGCCTCGAGGCTCAAATCAAATCAATTTGTTACTAGCGATGCAACGATACCACTTTTTTCCAAACCAATACGATACTTAGATCATAGTACTCGCCGATACCGATAACCGATACTTCTACCACACAACAGGAAAAGACTGTGGGGTAGATAAAAAGTAAAATATATGAATAGAAATTATCACAAAACTAAAATATTGGTGAACAGAAATGACAAGTTACAGTGAAGCCACTTTCAAGCAGCGGTATTGGTATCGGTTAATTTTTATTGATACAGATACTGGTATCGGTATCGGTGCATCCCTATTTGTAACCACCAGGATTTTTTCTAGAACTAGCCAAATATCTAAAGTTCTGCCATGTTGTGGAGTTGCTTATGCTAACAGTTAGTTCCTACTAGCTGAGACGTGCTCTGCTCCCTCCTGGATGCTAAAATCAACACAACCTTTCCCGTCGTGGTTAATTTAGAAAATAGTGGTAGAAGACTATTTTGACGTTCAGCCTGCATGTTAAACTCGGAGTGACCAATAAAAAAAAAATAAGTAAAAATGGTTTCTAAGTGAACTTGGCCTTTAAGGTTATTCAAATCTTAAAAATTATTAAACTTTCAACTTCAACCCTAACTCCAAACTCGTTCATTTCTGTGTGAAAATCTTCAAACAGATTAGGAAAAGCTAATAAATATACAAAGTCTTACTCGTCGTTGTAGAAAAGCCCACGAGCAATCGCATATGTGATAGCAGGAATGATGGGGAAGCCTGGGAAGAGAACCAAAACAGACCTACATTGTAAAGGCCCAAGTCAGGAAGGTAATATATTATTCAACTGAGGCAATACTGCAAATAACATTTATTATACATTTTTAATCAAACAGTCAAATATTGTTCTTTTTTTTTAGCTTGGTTAAAATAATACAGAATAAAAAGTAAAAACAACATCTTTAACATGCTTGTCAAGTTTTGCTGACAATATTCCATGTATGGAAAATTGCAAAGTGTTAATTTTATAAAACAAAGTTGTGCAGAGAGGAAAAAAACATGACTTTGGCTTCATAAGTGAGTCGTAGCTAATGTGCTACATGCAGGACATGAAGCATGCAGGGCGATCCGAGTCACAGCTATAATAAAACATGAAGAGATTTTGAGATACATTAAAAATATCAGTTTCCATACATTAATGCAGGTTGTGGTTTCGCAGAAAGCCTCGCTAAGTGCTTCTTCTGAAAGCCCACTTATCAGAGGACGGGCACATTCAGTTGGCAAGGTTACATCTTTGTTCTGATTTATGTTGAAAAGTCAGTGCAAGAAAAGCAAGCCCAGCTAAAACCAGTGACAGTACAATGTGCTGATGTGGATCATTTAAGATATGTTAAAGGTAGGATAGATGTTCCTGGAGAAAGGCGCTTAAGTGAGCTAAGTTTTGGAAAAAAGCAAACATAAAACTTTTCTATGGTCCAACCCCCTTTCTTCAGGCTCCCTGCTAGAGTCACAAGATCTGATAGTCATAGAAAATGGTTTGGGTACTGTCAAGCAACCATGAAACAAAAAGGATGTCTGGTGTGTTCGACACGCTGTTGGCACCTTTTCTGCCATAATCCCTAACGTAACACCACTATGTAACCATACACCAATTCACTCCACTAGCTGATACAGTGTGGTGTTTTAACGGGGATGAATTAGGTATTTTTAGTTTTCTTGGTTTATCCAAAACTTTAAAATTACAGCAGCTCAGTGCCACCAACAGTCTGGGAAAACACCACGAACAGCAGATGAAAACTTTCCGAACCCAAGATGTCCTCCCATTGGCTCTCTCCACTTGGCCAGCTTGGATCGCGACCAAGCCCCCACAATGCGGCTCAAAAATTGAAGCAATCCCGGAAGTACCAAAAATTGCAGTTCCACCCTCATCCGCTGGGGGCTGGTGTCAGAAGCGAGCAAATCCTCATTGACTCCCATGTTAAAAATACCAATTTCACAGCAGAAATAAACATGTTTACAGCCTGGTACCAAAACATGTTTTTGGTTTAAATGATCTAGTTTACACTCATGACAACTCTGAGGGGGGTGAATTTTTTTCTCACTCTTCCGTTTAAGTGTATTAAAAGCCTAAAATTCTGTATAATTAATGAGCATCCGACCCACGTGACCACAGAGCTAGCTCCGGGGAAAGGCCTCAGTAGAGCCTCGGTCTGGCCTGGAAACTGCTCCGGGATTTTTAGTCTCCGTGTTTGTGTATTCTTTTTTGGATATTATTTGTGCAATTGTTGGACAAAATGACTTGATGTGGCATTAATTGTACTAACAGAGCGTCCAAGGAGTCTCCACTTCATTTTTTTCTGTAAGTAAAATTATATTTATGTATTTTAGGTCACTGCCGAGCTGAGCTTAGATTTTAACGTGTACTGTTTAACCATGAAATTTAAATGTAATAGGGTAAAACCCAGTGCATTTAACATAATGCTGCACTTTAGAAAATGGGTTGAAATATAACATGTTGGTGGAGCTGGGTTCCGACTATCGGCTTGTGGAGCTCTCGGGAGACCGATGTTTTCCACCCGTTCTCCCCTCCCCGCAGCTCGGCGCATTTCTGTCTGATCGCGGCTTCTGTCTGCTGCGCGGGCTGCTGGCTTGTGGAGCTCTGGGATGGAAACCTTTCCACCCAGTTCTCCCCAGCGGCAGCTCTGCGCATCTCAGATCGCAGCGGCGCTTGTCTGCTGTGTGGCTGCCGACTTGTGGAGGTCTCGGAGACCTCTGTGTTCCACCCGGTTTTACCCAGCGGTCAGCCCGGCGTATCTCTGACTCAGAAGCTCTGGTGTTCTGCACAGTTAACATGGTTGTAGCTAGGTTGCTACCTCCATTAGCTTAGCTCCCACCTTCGCGTTAGCTTTGGGTTATCTTCAGGTTAGCTTGTAGCTAGTTCGACCGGGTGTCGTCATTTGATCCCGGCCTTACAGCCCCACCCTCAGCTCCACCTCTCTTCCCTTTTGTGGAATTGTCTGGGCTTGACGGAACCTGTGACACGGTCAAAATGGCGGTGGTGGCCACCTCCATTTTATCTTCAAAAATGTGTTATTAGAGCTTATGGAAACCTATTGTCCTATATTTATATGTCGACGATCGCGACACACACACGTTTGTGTGCGTTAAACGTAGTTTATACTTCTATGATGGCAGGTTTAAACTCACATATTGATGGAGACATTTTCCTTATACTTCTTTGCTGGAGTGTCATTGTTATGCCTCCTGCTGTCAGCAAAGTTTGTACTCCGTCAGTCATGGATGTATTAACGTTTAAATCGTCTGACTTTTTCCACAAGACATTCTTCAATCTGCTCCATGTCTGTCGCTAGATATCTTCAGCTCTCGTTTAATCTCTTTGAAGAGGAATAGGGAGCTAAGTCTCCTCCCTTTCCGGTCGGCTCATGGGTCTCCGTAAGAACAAAAAAATTAATTCAAGACAACGGGGCTAAAAGCATTATTTTCTAATCCGCTTTACCTGACGCCTTGGATCGCACGTGTTGTACTGCAATTTAAATGAAAAGTAATTTAAATTGGATGTTTCGACCACGCCAGTCACGTACTTTGAGATTTATCAGCTTGTAAAAGTTTGTAATTAGCATGACTACACACCAGAAATCGGCACGTCGCATATGTGACGTCACCACATAATCTCCTCTCCCTTAGCGTAGCTGCTACTTACCACACGACCAGATTTATGATGGTTCTTTCCTCCTGTGGGAAGTTTGCTGAACTTAAGCCATTTTCCCTCCTTTTTCTCTGTGTCTGGTTCGATGACGTCACTTTCGTGAAGCGCATTTGTATTCCTGGACTTATTTTCACACAAAACCTAAATTAAAGTTTTCCCCCGTTTGAAAATAACCACGTTCTTGGTATCAAAATGTGTCTTTAAAATTCACAGACTAAACAATAACGAAAATAAACAATCAATGATGTACAAGAACAAGGGCAAGCTATAACTGTGTCAAATTGATGAAGAAATGTGAAATCAACATTGTTTTACTGAACAATCACACGATAATGAATCACAGTGCATTTAGTGCCAAACACAGCCTTAAGCCATGTGTTGAACGTGCCCAAGTCCATACTTATGAGAGCACCATGTGAGCACACGCGCTTGTTTATGTAAGGTTTCTCTATAGAAGCGTCCAATAGAGAGTGTGAGGGGCCACAGATCTGCCCCCAAAGATGCATAGGAGATGGAGGGAGCTCAAAGTCCCAGAGATCCAGGAGCTGCCCCAGAGCACAGGGACCCCAAGGAGACCACGACCAGAAAAGCCCCTGCCCCTCTCGAGAGGCACATGGGATCGCCCCGGGGGGGCCACAACCAGCAGCCGGCAGGGTCCCGGGGGGATATCAGCGGCAAGCCCACAGGCCCGCCCGCATCCTCCCACCCCCCAGCCAGCCGAGCCCAGGACCCAGCAACCCGGGACCTGGGGGCAACCACTCCCGCCGGGAACCCAGCAGAGCCCAGGGACCCAGACCCCACCAGGCAGCCACCGGGATTGGTCAGGCAGACACCAAAAATCTTAAACCCCCTGACCCGGGAGCCACGAACACTCAGGCAGACCAAGGCACCACACTCTACACCAGGTGTGACAGGGGGAGGGGAGATGAAGATGTATATTAACAAAAGAAGTCCCAGGAGAAGGAAGGAGTTAAAGGCCCCACCTGATATATACAGTCATACACAGACACAGTCACACACTCCCTCCTTCATGCTCACACATACACATACAACCAAAGACTTACAAAAATGCATGCCGGACACCCACTCATGCTCCCCATACATACCCTATTCACTCTGGTCCCAGTACTGCTGCACATGGGGTACAACCATTACCGGTTCCCAGAGTTCGACCCTTTCTTCTGGGGTGCTGATGAGCAGGCTCGCCCGCCCAACGCTGAGCAAAGCAACCCACCACCCCAGACCCCAACCAGATGGCCAGATCTCCCTCCTAGCCTCCAGCCCCGGAAAGCCAAGTGACAACAGAGGTGTGCTAAGACCCTAGTCTCCCTCTGCCTGCTTCAATTTAGTGTTAGTGAGTGTTGATGAGGTGCATTCCATGGCTGTGGTGAGCGGGCAGTGCGGTCATCATCTGGCCTACGCCAGCTGATGCCACCACACTACCCCACTTGCATCCACAGCCCTCAGTGTCTATGTGCAGTTTAAAGTTGGAAGTGGGCACTGGCACTCGGAATGAGGCTGAAAAATCCCCCTGCCAAATGCCGTTGAATGTGCCCACTCCCAAGGCCCTAAGCGTGTGTTTGCGTGGAATGTCGTTGGTGGAAGTGTTTAAGGTGCAAATAAAATTGGGGGGCAGGTTGCCACAGGAATGCGGAAATGGGGTACATACCCGCACCCCCTGACTTGTCCACCCCCTAAGGTCCTATGTGCATGATTGTGTGATGATGTGAGGGAGCAGGAGGAAAAAAATGTGTAGGGATGGGGAGGAATGGCTGGTTGGACTTAAGCCCTCCAGGGAGCCAGCTCCCCCACTGGCCCCAATAGGCACCTCTGTTGCCAAAATGCCACCCAGAGCATGGAGACCCCAGCCCATCTTGCCAGGGCCCAAAGCAGCAGCCTCACAGAGGCTCACGGAGTCCGAGGGCACCAACCCAGCCCCATCCCAGCAGAATACCTACTCCCATCCCTGTATTTGCACAACTTCTGGATTATAAAAGACATAGGACATCCAAGTAAGGTTGGGTCCTCCCCCTCCTGGACATCCCCCTCCCCTGTGATGGAACAGCAGAGGAGCCAAGGTCTACCTGAGGCCCCTGAGCCCGGGCCAGGCACTGCCACATGTTCCTGCCTTCTTCCCGGCAGCATACACGTCAGGACCCGACCCCCAAGGCCCCGCCCAGATCCCCACACGGGGCCGGCCACCTCCACACTCCAAGCCCCCAGGCCCCCACCCAGACCCGCTCAGGGGCAATGCAGCTGCCAGGCAACAACCCATGGCCACCGCCAAGACCCCCAAGGGGCCCCACTCACAACCGCCAGTAGTCCACCCCCCGAGGCAACCCAAGCACCGCCAGAGGGGGGCAGAAGCCCCCCAGTCCCAGATACCCCCAGTAAACCCACCTCCAGGGAACATCCGGGTACTCCAAACTCAGACCCTCCACCCCATCACCCACATCATCCCGCAGGACAATATCAATGATACCCCATCATCGCTATGTGATGGAACCGATCAAAGGAGCCCAGAGAGATTGATTTGAAGTGGAAGCAGAGGTTGTATCAAGTGTAATATGATCTAACAAAAGATTTCTATACTGGTTGATGGAAAGATTATCTCTATTTTTCCAGTTCAAGAGGATAGTTTTCTTAGCAATGCACATGCCAGTCAGAACCACGTGAGCCAAAGATGTATCAATCAGGACATCGTCCAGGTTTCCCAGTAAACAAACAGGGGGAAGTTGGGATTGGGCATTTCAGACACTTTGACAGGTCTTCACATACTCTACCCCAAAATTCCTGGACAGGTGGACAGGACCACAGTGCGTGGATGTAATTGTCAGGAATGTTGTTTGTGCAGTGTCTACAGGTGTCAGACGACACAAACCCCATCTTGAACATCCGATGACCTGTATAGTGTAGTCTGTGTAGAATTTTGTACTGAATTAATTGTAAATTGGGGTGTCTGATCATTTAAAAAATTTTTAAACAAGTTTGGGACCAGAAGTTCTGGTCATAGTTGAGTGACAGATCCACCTCCCATTTTTCAATAGGGCTTGCTATTCTATCGTCTATTTTGGACTGTGTCTTATATACTTTAGACAGTAGTTTGGGGGGTTTCATATTATAGCAGTCAAATACCCTTGGTGGTGTTTGTAATTCTATTTTATTGAGCTTAAATTTTTGTTTGACTACAGATTTAATTTGGTGATGTTCTAAAAAGCTATTCTTATCCGTTCCAAATTGGGAATTTTGTTAAATGGGATGAAGTCCAATCCTTCATATATGCGTTCCAGGTATAGGATTCCTTTGTTTTTCCAGTCCGGAAGGTTCATCATTTTATTATTTTTCAAAATATCAGGATTATTCCAGATAGGTGTGCGTCTGCATGGTATTATTGAAGACTGTCATTTTTAGATACTCCCACCATGCTGTCAGAGAGGTGCTGATACTAATACATTTAAAGCCTTCATGTTTTCTTATGCTTGAATAAAACATCATCTGCATAAAGACTGCTCTTATGTTCTATTTTCTTACATTTAATGCCTTTAATACCTGTTGTTTGTCTAGTTGCTACTGCTAGTGGTTCGATAAAGATAGCAAACAGTGAGGGGGGAGAGTGGGCATCCCTGCCTGGTCCCCCTCCGAAGACAGAAGCTAGCTGATATTTGGTCGTTCGTCCTGACACGTGCTGTTGGTGAACTGTTTAATGTTTGTAGCCAGTTTATGAAGAAGTTCCCAAAACCAAATTTATGTAAAGTTGCAAACAAGAACTTCCAGTTAACTCTATCAAAAGTCTTTTCCGCATCTAGAGATAATATACTAGTTTCTATGTTTCTACTGTAAGAGAAATCTATCAAATTAAGTAATCTACGTGAGTTTGTGGATGACTGTCTACCCTTGATGAAACCAGTTTGGTCAGGGTGTATTATGAAAGGGGTTACCTTCTCTAATGTTTTTGCCAGGGCTTTACAAATTATTTTGAGATCAACATTAATAAGGGAAATTGGGCGATAGCTGGTAAGAAATGCAGGGTCTTTGCCTGGTTTTAACAAGAGACTAATGTTGGCTGAATTCATGTTCGGCTGTAATCTGCCGCTCTCTTCGATTTCCCAAGCGACATTCTAACCAATCGGCTTGCGGAGCTGTTGCTTTCGATGGATAATTAAAATCTCTGGGAACGTCCAAAATTTTGTTGAAAAATATTAACAGCTTCGTAACATGTAATCACAAAAATCGGGTCTAAGTCTGGCGACGCCTCATTAGACGCCATGCTTCCTTCTACGAGAGCAGATCTGTGTACAACTGTCTTTGCTTGGACAGGTCTAACAGCAACATATCTAGTTGGAAGTTGTTGTAGACCTCTTAACTTACCCCACCCCAGGATGTAGTACCAGAAGAGCTGCTGTTCCTCAACAAAAACAGCCACTATGATGAGTGTGTGGAGGTAGATGCCCTCACACAGCATCCAGAAATAGTTGGACATGAATGTGTACTGAGTCAGCACAGCCAGGATCTTGCAGCTCACCTGATGGTGAAAACAAGAGGAAAGAAACCTCCTCAATAGATTTGAGTACAACAGAAAGCAAAGTTTATGCAGAAGTCGGGCTCACGGGGTTGCTGGAACTTATGGTTTTATTGTTGGCCACAGAGACTGAAAGCCACATGATGGTAACAATAGAGTTCAGGATGAAGGAGAGGAACGTGTTCTTGTGGAGGGAGATCCTCTGGCAGCTGAGACTGCTGCAGGAGACAAAATCAGTTTGCAGAACATCCAGAAAGTACTGACAGAACATCATTCAGCTCAGGTTTCAGCAGAAATATGCACTGATGGAAGATTAGTTTAATATTGCATACTTGTTGGTTTTTAAACTATCTTTTTAAATAAATACACAAAACATGAATTTCTAACAGGAAATTGTTCAGGAAGAAAAACTCTCACTTAACTCACTTCAGATAAGAGAAGATAACCAGACTGATGATCAGGGAGATGATAGAAAGACCATGACCCACCAAAGCCAGGTAGTACATACTCATTGCAAACTGTGGGGACAGAGCGAAACTGATTATGGAAAACAAAAACACAGATGTGTGTTTGCAGAGCCTTGCATGCAAAATTCAGAGCAGAAAGCAAGAAGAGGGCATGAATACATAACATAACTTCCTGGGAAACAACTACAAATGATATGTGACCAACCATGAATTTAGATGCACTGATAAAAATATTTATGACCTTTATTTTGTGATTGACTGCATCTTATTCAGGAAGGAGCTCAACACAGAGAGAATCAAGGTAAGCAGGTTTCAGTCAGGTGCTAAGTTAGCCTTCGATTCCCAACAGGAATTCTGAGCTAATTAGCTACTGTTGACCATCTCTGGTGTTTGTTGCACAAGTCATGAAGTCAAGACTGATCTCTGCACTCAGGCTGTTATGCTCAGCCATGCTCGGTTCTGTTTCTGGATTGCTTTTCAGGATATGGAATTTATATGGAAATGTGGAATTTGTTGCTTTCAGACACTTTTGTAAAGATGGAAAATTAAGTCATTCAGGAGAAGTTTTGTGCACAAAAGATTTGTGAAGCTTCAGGTAAACGTTTAGAAAAGGCCAGAGAAGCATCTTCTTTCCGCTTATCTGGGTGAAAGAGAGGCAGCTCCAGCAAAGAGGCTCAAACATACCTTACCCCAGAAACCTCCACATGATCCCCAGGCATTCCCAGGCCAACATAGAGATATAATCTCTCCAACATGTCCTGGGTCGACCCGGGGGCCTCCTGCTGGAAGGATGTGTTTGAAACACCTCCCCTGGGAGGCATACAGGGGGCACTTTCATCAAACGAACTCAGCGGGCTCCTCTCGACATCTAATCTCAATCCCTCCCAAATGATCAAACTCGTCATCCTCCCTCTAAGGTTGAGCCCAGCCCCCCGACAGAGGAAACTCATTTTGGCCACTTGGATTCCCGATCCTGTGCTTCCGGGCATGACACAAAGCTCCTGACCAAAGGTAGGGATTAGGATGAAGGTCGCCTGCTAAACTGAGAACTTTGCTTTCTGGCTTAGCTCCATTCGCCACAACCAACCAGTTTAGCATCCTTAGCATCCATCTCTCTTCTTCCTCCCCTCACCTGTGAAGAAGACCCCGAGACACACTCCCCCACTTGAGGTAGGACCCCAGCACCAACTTGGAGTTAGCAATCTACCTTTATTTGTTCTGGAACCATGTGTTTAGAGGCACTGATCGTCACCCCAACCACTTCATACTGGGCTGCTAACCTCCCCAGCACGCACAGGTCAGTATGATGGAGCTAATAGGACCACAACATCCGCATAAAGCAGAGACTCAATCCTCCAGTCACCAAACTCAACAACCTCCACCCCATGACTGGGTAGAATTTCTGTCCACAAGGACAACAGAACTGCTGAGGAAGGACCGCCCTGGCGGAGTCCGACCCTGAAGGGACTGAAGGGCCGTAACAGAGGGCCATCCACCTCTAGACTTTTTAAATCTGGTTCAAAACCAAACAATTTCAGATGTGGTTAAGCAGCATGATGTTGGTTGGTTTTTTTTTTTTACCTTGAACTTTTCATTGCGGATTGAACATTGTGAGTAATTAGTCCAGATTCTGTTGCTCTCCGGATGGCGAAACCACTGGCCATCAGGATTACACACTTTGACCACTTTTTCTGTAAGAAGATATGCATTACACACACACACACACACACACACACACACACACACACACACATATTGAGAAAACATTTAAAATGGGCTTGTTTGGTGTGAAAGTTATGGCCTCACCTTCAGGATCAAAGTCTGCATAATATGAAGGACAATACTGATGGTGACTCCCTGGTGCTGAGTCTCCCCAACACAACCACCCATCCCAGGTACGGTTGCAGTAAGGACCTAAAGAGGGCAGGACATATACAGGTGACGCAGTGCATTGTTTCCAGTCTAAATCAATCAATCAATCAATCAATCAATCAATCATCAATCAATCAATCAATACTTTAGTAATCCCAGAGGGAAATTAGAGTTTCAGTACACACAATTAAGAGATCAGACATACATGGGCAAGACACATGACAAGAATTGGTGACTGTGGTCATTCGCAACCCTGAGTCGTGCTACCTTAATAGAGATCAGAGGGTTTACATGAGGATTGGTTCAGGTGAAGGGAAAAAAAGGCACTTCAGAGTTACCCTCCACCAGGAGGGCAGCTTTAATCTGCAAAAAAAACACCTCAACAGATATGCAACAGACTTCAGACAACACAACATAACATGAGACTCCAATAGGAAGGGGGGGGGGGGGGGGGGGGCTGGGATCCTGTTTTCCCCAGCGAGAGCAGCCATCTACGGCGCTCATCTACTGTACAGTCACAGGTGGGAGGGAGAATTTGTTTGGGTCAGGCTGAGATAATTTTCCTCTCTGCCTTCAGTCTTTAAACTGATCGTTTCCAGTCCTTCTGTGAAGCCAATTTTGGGTTTTCAAACCTGTCCATCCATACCGTCCGGTGACTCTCTCCGAGATGACATCCATTTTGTGCACCAATACCGGTATTGCAGCTAGAACATTGTCCAGCTTACGGTTCACCTCGAGTAACGTCCCAGTCTGTGAAGTCTCCACACGGACGGCGCTTTCCGTGGGTGCGGATCACCCTCCAATCGCTACCGTCTTCCCAAATTTCCAGAAAACCAGAAATCTTCCCACTCCAATAAGGAGAAATCCAGTGATCATCAGGCCGAATATCCACACGTCTTCGATATCCTCAATGGACAGCTGGCAGAGGCATATGATCTTCCACTCCTTCCAGGAATCCAGCATATATCCCACCGGGTGTGTCCCCTGTGGACATGTGGGAGCCCCTGCTCAGTTCTCATTGTTGAAAAAATCTTATCGATTGCATTGAATGACCAGTTTATCAAATCCATGGTTAGTTGTTCAGAAGAAATGCAGAGAAGTGCTCTGTGAGCAGACAGGACAAAGAGCCTTGGGAGAAAAAGATAAGGGAGCGAAAGAGAGAAGTGTCTGTACTCCTCGAGTGCCTTGAAGAGATTAAGATAAGATTGTTTGTTTTATTTTTGATCTCTCAGGGTAGATGTGAGTGGTGCGTGTGATTCATTTGTCTGAACAGGAAGGGGTGAAACAGTTCTGCTCTAACTGCATGGGATTGTGGACTGGGCTGTTTGTGAATGCTCTGGGGGAGGGTTAGGGCCCAGGGTTGCATCATGTTTCTAACGCCTCATTTACACTGAGTGCAGAATGCATACAGACCAGTCTCCGGACAGCTTCCACATGGACTGTCCTTTACGACTGTGGGTTGTGTGCAGAGCGTTTCAGGAAATTTGCTCCTGCGAGGGCACTACATTATTTGAAATTGGACATAATACATTTAAAGATTGTCGTCATCGTCTTCCTCCGCTTATCCGGGTCCGGGACGCGGGGGCAGCATCCCAACTAGGGCGCTCCAGACCGTCCTCTCCCCAGCCACCTCCACCAGCTCCTCCGGCAGGGCCCCAAGGCGTTCCCGGACCAGATTGGAGATGTAACCTCTCCAACGTGTCCTGGGTCGACCCGGGGGCCTCCTGCCGGCAGGACATGCCCGAAACACCTCCCCAGGGAGGCGTCCAGGAGGCATCCTGACCAGATGCCTAAACCGCCTCAACTGACTCCTTTCGATCCGGAGGAGCAGCGGTTCTACTCCGAGTCCCTCCCGAATGTCCGAGCTCCTCACCCTAACTCTAAGGCTGAGCCCGGCCACCCTACGGAGGAAACTCATTTCGGCCGCTTGTATCCGCGATCTCGTTCTTTCGGTCATTACCCAAAGCTCATGACCATAGGTGAGGATTGGGACGTAGATCAGCCGGTAAATCGAGAGCCTGGCTTTCTGGCTCAGCTCCCTCTTCACCACGACAGATCGGCTCAGCGTCCGCATCACTGCAGACGCTGAACCAATCTGCCTGTCGATCTCCCGATCCCTCCTACCCTCACTCGTGAACAAGACCCCGAGATACATTTAAAGATATACTCGTAAAAACAAGGTGAACTGTCATACGCAAAGAATTGATATTGCTGTTATTAATAATAGCTAAAAAGCGAGAACAACAATGCAACACTGGTTTTAGTTTGAAATACCGGATGCAGTGGCGTTTTTATGTTTGTTGATGCATGAGTGGCACCTACAGTCATCCTCACAAAATCCTTCTCTTTTTCATTCTAGTGAATTTGTGAGCTCCACATTGGGCCATGACCAATTATGTCTCTTCTTCTTTGTCTTCTTCTTTATTGAGCTGTGTTGTGGTGGTTAGCATCCCACTTCTTGGTGCACCACCAAATGGAGTGGAGTGGCACTGGGATCAGGATTCTTCAAGGGTGGCATGTGCTACCCCAGGGCACTCCATGGACATGCCCCTAAGCGGGTGCACCTGAAATGTCTGGGTCATTTAATTTCTTTAACTGATCAGGAGGTGTGAAGGTCCAGCTTGACCTTTATGGAGCCGGAGCATGTAGAAACAGCCGCGGCAGCCGACCACCAGTCTTGAGATACTTCCGGGTCACAACAGTTTGTTGGCATCTAGCGAGACCCAAAACGGGGTCGTGATGGTTCAGCTTTTATTCTGAAAGGAACCGTTGCGGCAGTTGGAACAGCAACAGGTTTTATCCAGCTTGTCGTTGGTTCTTTCGGCTGAAGTGGAAAGTTACGGATTGGCCACTCCGACAACTTCTCTAGAACGCTTTGAACTGGCGTTAAAGATGACGTGGGCATAGTTTTATACTTCGGATGTTTTGGTTTATGGTCGAATGGAAAGTTGACAGATTTACCAAACACCACCAAAACCACGCCTCCGTCAGATCTGGCAGATTCTGATTGGATCAGTAAAGCAATGTGTGATGTGGCTTAACCTTTCGTGTAATCAGTCTCTAGTGGAAACATTTAACCCTTTGGTGCATAATGGTCACTACAGTGGACAGGTACTCAAAATTGTTATTTCCTTATTTTTGCTATTAAGCACAGCTGTTGAACTTTATTGCATTTAAACCCCTCCTTTTGGACTTCAGTAAGTCAAACCAACATATTTCATGTTCAGAATGCACGCTGTCCACTGAGATGGACATGTAATAAATTATTTGTAAATTAACAAAATGTTACAAAAAATATTTGTTGAAGTTTGTTTCATTCACACCTAAAAATGAATGAAAAAAATTGTTTAAAAAATCTTGGTTGAAGATTTCATAATTCATGCATCAGACGGTTAAAGTCATATTACTTATTATATTCTATAGGATTATAATAAAGTAATTAAGATTTTGATTTCACAGATTGGTCACATCTTATTATTGACTAACACTTTGTTTGATTAGCTTTATTAAAATAGAGTTCTTTGATTTAATAAAAGGAGAGAGTCTTTTTCTTCATTCTTCCCTTGGGCTGAATGCATGAGACCTTGAGGCCAAATCTCATGCAGACTAATTCTGTGTCAGAGGAAAGGGGGAAAAATGACTTTTGGTGGAAAACAGTCATTTCATTCCTTTACACCTGTTGATTAGCTTGTAATGAGAAAACTTTAGAACAAACTCTGCAAACTAAAACTTTATCAGTTTATTCATCTGAAATGTTTTGGCCCTCGAATCTTTCTCAATATCAGTGTTTCAGCTTTGCCAAAACTGGCAGGCAACTTTTAAAATCCGACAGGATTAATAAAATAAATGATCTTCTAAACAATGGTGTGTCATATTTAAATAAACTGCATCTCGCCACAGCCTGCTCTAACAAAGCTTGTCAACAATGGGCGGAAACCTGCCGGTAGCAGGTCGCGCAGCGGCATGCTGGGAAACGCTGCACAAAATAACTTTTCAAAGGCAATGAATGGGAGTAATAGGAGACAAAGGGCAAGTTTCCTTTCTTTCAAACTGACTTCCTTCTTCTCAGTCCCTTGCATGGATGCAAGCACTACGATGTTTGTAGGAGAGACTAGCGATGCAGCTAAATAAGCACATTTTATTGAGGGAACATTTCCAACAGCAAGTTCAAACTGCAACGAGAAACAATCACTAATCAGTTGAATTTAAAAATGATCCAATTTGTTTAAAAACATGCTAAAGAAATCAAATAACGTCAGCTTCATTTAAACATTGTGCACTAATGTCACAATGATTTACCGCATTCTTCGTTTATGTCCAATTTATGAAATTATCCTCCTAGAAGCTCAATTTTAACGAATGCTTGTTTTTGCACATGGATTAAACTCTTGTGCTGTGTTCATTTGAGTTTTGTCATTGGTCAGAGAAATATATATATTACATTACTTAGAAAAATATATTCTGAGAGAAAAAAATAGATGTGCGATAGTTACATTTGCACATGATTGCAGGCTGTTGCATTACTAATAGTTCTTATTAATATCAGACCCTAAAAACTTGTACGGTGTTGAGTTTGATATTTATTCTTAGCACTTTTTTCAACAATTAGTACTTTCATATATATATATATATATATATATATATATATATATATATATATGTTTATGTATATGTATATGTGTATATATATATATTTATATATATATATATATGTATATGTATATATATATATATATATATATATATATGTATGTATATATATATTTATGTATATATATATATGTATGTATGTATATATATATATATATATGTATGTATATATATATATATATATATATATATATATATATATATATATATATATATATATATATATATGTATATATGTATATACATATACATGAGAGTAATGGTATAACGGCCAGCTCGAGGCATGCATTCCCGAACACATGGTGTTGCTTCCATCCATAGTCACAGAAGTAGTGCGAGGGGCTTAAAGTGGCAGTACGTTTTTCCCCCTCTAGATGGTGCCTTCTGAGAAAAAAACTTCAGATTTCCGCTTTTAGGAATACAAGATGGGGAGTTTTCTGTGAGGCAGTCACCTTCATCCGTTCGAGGCGGATCATTGATCATCCTCAGGTAGCACTCAAACTGGGACGCCAAGATCTGGCGCCTTGCATCTCCAAGTAAAACCGACAGGTCACTGAAATTCTCCTGCATCTCCTCGGGCTTTTCAGCTGCAGCCGATGGTTCCACATCCTGAGACTGGGAAACCAGGAACATGCAGTCAAGGACAGAGGCTTTGAAGTCCTGTAATGCGTTTGTTTTCATTATTGCGTTAATTTGCATTTACCTTCGTTCCCAGTGAACAGGCAATCGCCACTAACAGTGTGAGGCTCCTCCACATGTCTCTGAAAGTAGAAAAAGGGCAAAGCTGCAGTTAATTATTTAAAAACAAGTCCAAAATACGTGCGGATGCACAAAATGCATCAAGGGGGACTAAAATTGCCTTTTGGCTAAAATTGGGTACATTTACACTGTAGAATGTTTTTAATGCACACTGTCCCTCTACATCAAATAAAAGTTATTCATTCATTCATCATTAGACAGATTACATGTCAAATGTTTTATTTCCGATCAAATACATCTGTTTTTACGACTACACTGGGCTATGTTTGTTTACGTTTTGTGGATTTTCTCATCTGTGTGGACAGGAAGTTAATTCTCCAGGAGTCATTCGTCCCCGCCGTCCACTCAGGGTCACAGAAACAGATGTGTGTGTTTATTATTATTATTATTATTTTGGGGTAAAAGGGCAGTAAAATTCCTCAGAGGTTTCATTTTAATGAGATATCCCATGACACAGCAGGGACTCCAAAAAATGTACATGCAACATTAATGTAAACAGGATGTGTTGGGCTTTACTTTACTTACATAATTACTCTTTAAAACATTTTTGTTTGGCAGCTATAGAATATTTATTTCAGGCTCTAGTTCACCAAAGGACTGCAGGCTTTTTGCAGGTGGAAATTAGGATTTTGTGCTTCAGTCACAAGAGAATTTTGCACCAGAAACTCAGGTGCCAATCAAGCGGCATCTCTCTGTTTGATTTGTTGAAAGTAAAAGCATCCGATTGTCTAAGACTAGCAAGAAATATTTACCAAAGCCACAAAATCACCGGAGAGTTGCAACACCACGCGTGAATTCAGAAATCCACATGATAACAAGCAAGGAGAAAGACGGCTGCTTCAAAAAGGTCTGTGGTTTATTTTTTGTTCTGCTGAATGACAGGGAATGACGTACGTTTATCTGTACGTGACTTTTATTTTGAAAGTTTACGAACGTTTTACACTGCTTTCATGTTTGACTTCCTGTCCTGCCCGATCTAAACCGTGGAGTTTGACGTGTTTTGAAAGTGTAGTAAAACATTGATTTGAAACGTACTGATATGCTTCTGGGATGCGTCCACAACGTTTCACTTTGCTGCCGGTGGAAAGGAACTCGTCCACCATAACGACAGCTAACTGCCATGTGGTACGTTTTCGTGACCGTTTTGCAATGCTTTCACGTCCTGTGGAAAGAAGGGATCACTGTTGTGACCTGTCATAAAACCAAAGTCATAACCAGAGGCACTGCATGCCGACAGGCAAGGCAGGCAAGTGTTTGGGGCCCCCAGAGGGCCAACAAACTTTGAAGTCAAAACAGTATTGAGAGAGCTTTTCATTGGAGCTCTGTTGACCGTTTCCTGCCTGACGGGTCTTCCTACTACTTCCTCAACACACTGCCCCCACCCACCCCCGATGAAGGAATTTGACACGGAGAATAAAGGTTGGTTTATGCTTGACGCGTCCGCGAGGTTCGCACGGCTCCGCGCGGCAAAATTGCGTCATTTTAACAACCACGCCCCTCCACCGCGCCTCCGCACGGCCCAAACTTTCCGCACCGCGCACCTAGGAAATTTTCTAACCACGCAGACGGACGGACGTGGAAAAACATGGCGGACTGGCAAGAACTAGTATGGCAGAGGTTCGTAAATACAGACATTTGTATGATTCAGCTCTCAAAGATCACCGTGATCAACATGTTGTTAATAATTCTTGGAGAGAAATAGCTCGCACTGTCGGAAAAGACGAGGACGCTGTTAAAAAAATGCTGGAATGCCATGTTGTAAACAACAGTAATGTTTACTTCTACTATGGTGTAGTGTTGGATGCATGCCGTAGAGCTCCATGCTGCCCCCTACAGTTTGGGAGAATATTGGCTCACCGCAGAGACAAGCCGCATGAACCATAAACGCTGCAAGTTGTGAAGTGGGTTCCATCCGCGAGCCGCATCGCCAAGCGGAAAGTGAATGCATCAAGCATAAACCAAGCTTTAGCAGACGGTGGGTGCTAATGATGCACAAACAATGAAACAAAGAAAAGCAAACAGGTGCTGTGCATTCTGGGTAAATCTGGGCCTGTGCGAGCTCTTCAGCACACAGAACGTAGTTATAACCTGTAACGACTATTTCCTCTGGCGTAGCCTAGTATGGAAACCAATAAACAAGAGAAAGTGATGCAACTGAAAGAGGATGAACCATGCATGGAAACACTACAACGATCTACTTTCCCCTGGACTCATGCTGGTTTCTCCAATCAGCATAACTGTACCACACAATGACACATAACATTATAACTCACGTTTCCATCCTTCAAGAATTAAACAATGAATGTTTTTCTGTCTGTTTTGTACGCAATTCCCTCCAATAAGTGTTAGAACATCAACACCTCTGAGAAGAATACATCACATATTGTGACTTTTTGGCAACCCTGGGTCTGTTACCATCACACATAAGATCCAGAAGTTGGTGTCCCTTCCTCCACTCTTGTCTTTTTGTTCTGACTTTCTTGTAAATGAAAGTATTACAGAGTAAGAACAACACAATAACAGAACAGCATGATAAAAATAAAACTGCAGCTGTAGTCGAACATGTGGGGCGACGGTGGCACAGGAGTTAAGCGCTTGATCAGTTTGTCGCTGTTGTTGTGTCCTTGGGCAAGACACTTAACGGAGGGACCGGTGGCGCCTGTGCTCGGCAGCGTCGCCTCGGTCAGTGCGCCCCAGGGCAGCTGTGGCTACATTGTAGCTCATCCCCACCAGTGTGTGAATGTGTGTGTGAATGGGTGAATGACTGATTGTGTTGTAAAGCGCCTTGGGGGGTTCAAAGACTCTAGAAGGCGCTATATCAAATACACGCCATTTACCATTTGTCACCAAATAAAGCCCAACATGGTTCTAATCAGAAATGTGGCTTTTGAAAAATAATAAAAACACACTGGTGGTTAGGGTTAGTTTTCAGCCTTTCTTAAAAGGCTCCACAGGCTGAAGCTTGTGAATAATCCAGTTATTATAAAGGGTTCCCTTTGGCTGGGGGCTGGTGTCTTGAGTGTGACGCCCTCTGGCTGGGCCCCCTTCGTCCCTGGGCCCCCTTCGTCCCTGGGCTTGGGTTTGGGCTGGCCTATTGGTGCCCATCAGCTGCTGGGGTGTGTGTGACCTCGGACTCTGGTGCTGTTGGCAGCTCATCCCTCATCACAAACACAACAATTAAAAACAAAACACTCTTCCACTTTCAAACACAGCGATTCACACACACACACACACACAGTTTAGAACTGCACACAAACACACACACACACACACACACACACACATGAACATATCCTATAAAGTAGGGCTGCTCGATTATGGCAAAAACAATAATCACGATTATTGTGACTGAAATTAAGATCTTGATTATTTAAGATGATTTTTCAATTAATGTTGATTTTATTTGTTTTTATTCATTCATAAAACTGCTCAGGGCACAATCAGGACAAAAATAAATAAGAAACAAGATGATCACTAAAATAACTCCTGATTCCCAGTATAAAAAGACCAATATAGGGCTATAGACCTTGGTTTAACTCATTTAAGTCTAACCAGTACAGACCCAAATACCAATATCTTGCAAATACTGACAGCAAGAATTATGCAGTGGCATTTATAACAAATACATGCAAATAAATTGATGTTCACAAAATGTTGCATAAAATTTATTTAGTCGTGTCAAGGTGCTGTAGGAGAGTGCACTAGCACCGTGTCCTCAGAGAGATTAGTTATTATTTTTCAGCATGAGGAACTTATTTCTACCTTATTTATAAACTATTTATTTACAGGTCCATCAGTTAATGTAATAAATGTCCCACCCACAGCTGCAACCCCCACCCCCAACCTGGTCTCACAGCAATCACGGGCAAGCTGCACGTGTGTTTAGCACGCCGCACGCACACATTTAGCTGTTTTTAGCGGCTCAGGAGCCCGCAGGTACAGTGTGTGTGTCACTCACTCTGGTTAATCCAACAGGGAGCCGGCTCTGAGAGCCGTTTCTTAAGCGACCGACACATCACTACATCATTCCCTTTCCTAATGTTGTGAAGAACGGTCCGGAACGCAGGCGGAGTGTTTAGCTAACCTGCAGGAAATGTCGACGACAGTTATCCAGAAAGTAGCTAAGGGTTACCAGATATGTTTCTGAGGTGTTCGCTAGGTACTTTTAAGATTTAAAAAGTCAAGAAGGGGGTCTGAGAAGCTGCTAGAAATAGCGTCAAAGTCACTGGCAACACTGTGGGAGGAGCGCTTCATTTGCTACTCAGGGCAGCGCAAGTGGGAGGAGCAAATAATCGGCTTGTTTTGTTTTTAAAATCGTTCAAAACTCAGATCGTAATTGGGATTAAAATTTGATTAATTGAGCAGCCCTACTGTAAAATATAGACACACACACAGACACTGATGCACCTTTAAAGCGACTCATTCTGGCAGGTACTGAAACTGTCAAGAATAAAACTGCTGAAATGTATTTATTTGAGAGGGATTTAGAGCAAAGAACTTCATAAACATGTTTGATATCGACCACAGAACTATTAAACTACACTATGTACATAAAATTGTCATAATATGGTAAGTTTGGTCTTCATAACCTTCTTCTTTCTTGCACAGTTTCTTAAAATTACTACTTGGAAATCAAAGAAAAAATGTGTATAATTGAAAATTAGATATTTTCTAGTATGACTTAATGGCCTTGAAACCTACTTTCTTCCATAGACTGAGCTCGAATAGAAACAGCAGAACATGACGTCTGGGTCATTGTTGGTGTCTGTGCTGAGCATTCCTCCAAAGTGCAATATTTTCCTTTAAAGGAGTCCTGACCGCTCTCTCTGCGGTGATGTTTAGACGGTCTGGGGACAGTCATTGTCAAACTAGAACGTGTGTCTGGTCACATTTGTGGAAACAAAAAGGAGTCTCGGGTCCACCATAGGGGCAGACGTCCTGGGGCTAAAAACATGAGTTATCTGATCAAAAACAACAAGATGGCTCTCATTTGTCACATTAG